ATCGTTTCGACCCTACTACCCCCCTACACATCCACAGCGGGGTCACCAGGATCACTAGCTTTTCTCCAAATGGCCATTTTGGCTGGCAGGTGCATTATACCCTTTATTTTCAGATTGTCTATCCGCTCCTAATGCCTGGCAGGTTGATTGCTCTGGCTGCCTCACCAGGGAGAGGGCTGACGAGCACGGCCGGGACTCGCTGAAAGACAGTGATTACTGTTTTCCTTTAAGCCTGATTGAGGCCCTTGAAAGGAAAGATTTTAACCTTCTCCTGTTGGTTGCAGAGTATGGCCGTACATTGAAATGGCTTGTGTCATCAACCCGGTTCTGTAAACTCATCAGTGTACCCAATAACCTTCTTCCCCTAAACCTCCATCTGAGAAAGGGGATAAATCACTTTACGGACAAAGTGACGGATGACATTATCATTTAGATTATTTCCATAGGAAGGAAATTCTGGCATGTGGTGCTGTCATCTCAGATTAACTATAAGGTTCATACTAAGATAAACGCTTCTAGGAACCAGGCGAGTATTTCCCCTTCTTTCAATGAATCTGTTTTGTCCTGCTTTTGCTGCTATTATTGTTTTTTTTACATTGAAAGCATAGGCTATATACCATCTCTAAGAGATGTGTTTTGAAAAAGCGTGTTCATCTTCTTTGAGGTAGAACCGGTGTGCAGTTTGCCAGCTGGTCGGGCCTGTATTTTCTTGTACATTCTCTGAGGTTGAATGGGAGCTACAGGACCTCCTGCTAGGATGGTAATTGCTCGGGCTTGCTGTTCAGGGAGAAGCTTGTCTCGAGGCAGCCAGGCGGAAAACCTCTGTGCCATCCCCATGCCACCTCTGAAGAGCAAAGACAATCCCAGCATCACCATCTGCTTTTGCACCATGCTGTCATCTGGCCGGACCAATGGGACGGGCCCGTGCAGCTGCTCCACACCCTCTGCCCCGCTGCCCTGTGGCCTGGAAGGGGGCAACCTGCCACTGGGACACAGAGGAAACAGCTACACTGACAGCTAGACTTTCTATTGAATGGCTAGAGTCTCATTAACAGTTAGGAAAGACAGGGGTCCCTTTGACAACAAGACACCCGCTGCGCTGTGTCCCTTTAACACAAATGGCAAACTTCCCTGCTTTAGAGGAGCAGGTCCCTTTTTTGAAAGGAGACATTGTGCTGACAAACCAAACAAATGCAAGGCAGAGATACCAAATCAGTCTTTGGTCGTGCCCATAATCACCGGGTGGAGCTTTTTATTGAAAAAGGAAAATAATTGATGTGAGAGACGTAGTGAGCAAAAGGTGTGAAACGTCTGTATGGAGGCATGATCGCTTGTCACGAGAATGTTGTTCCTTAAATTGGATTTTTACTTTTTAAGTGTAAAATATTCTCAATTATTTTTCCTTGGGCCCCTTCAAAAATAGACCCCTAAGAAGGTACAAAGCTTCGAAAAATGTAACGTTGTGTGTTTTTAATTGTGAATATGCAACACAAGAGTAATGTATTAGGAAAAATTCAAAGTTATGAGTTTCAGATTTGTTGGTATTCTGAAAAACTACTATTATTGATAATAAAATGAAGTAATCTAGAAACTGTATACAACTTAAGTCTTTGTATTGTTCTAGTGTTTAACATAGTTATCTTTCTTCTCAGCTGAGGAAGAAGAAGAAGAGGAGGAAAGTGCTCCAATCGAAGCAGCAGTGGAGACTCAGACTGAGAAACCGGACCAGAAAGAGGAGGAGGAAGGTACTCCATCACCACTGATGTTGCATACTTGTAATCTAGCCACTTCAGTCTTACTAGTGATTTTCATAATAGTGGTTGCACTGAAGTCTCTATTCCTGTGAAGCAGTGCATCACATGCCACATCTTAAAGGCAGTGATCAGAAGTTCAGTGTGTCTGTACCTCTCTGTGCAGCAGCCCCCCACGAGCTGACAGAGGAGGAAAAACTCCAGATCCTGCACTCCGAAGATTTTGCGAATTTCTTTGACCAGAGCACTCGCATTATTGAGCGAGCTCTGTCGGAGCATGTGGACCTCTTCTTCGACTACAGCGGTCGTGACCTGGAGGAGAAGGAGGGGTAATAATTGTAGAACTAGACAAGTACTTAAGAAAACACGGTAATTGGTTTCTGAAAGAGTGTTTCTATTGATTTGTGGTGCTTTGTTTTCCCCAGTGAAATCCAGGCCGGTACAAAGCTGTCCCTCAACAGGAAGTTCATGGATGAGCGCTGGTCCAAACATCGCGTCGTCACCTGCCTGGACTGGTCCCTGCAGGTCACTTTTTAAGACAACTTTCTATAAATAAACCAATAGTTTAAATTGTTTCTTAAAAAAACATTTGGAAGTTGTGTGCAAATGTCAAAAGGATTTGCCTAAACGTGTGTTAAAACAGAAGCGATATGTGCATTCGTGTTGCTAATTGGCTGTTGAAACAACTTAGCTCTGCTCAGCCATAATGCTTTATGATTACATGTCTCGAGTTTGACAGCATTTACTTTTGGCCACAAGTCCCCCAGGAGAAGTAAGTTATGTCCCACACATTGTCACTCAGTCGGGAGCCATAATGATTTGTTTCCTCTGGTGTCTAAGGTCATTTAATGCATGATTCTGCAATGGCTTCTGACAGTGATTGAACACCAGCTCTTTGTTCACGGTGTTTACCAGCTCAGAGCGATACCCATACCCTCGTGATTGGAAATTCAGATTTCTCAAACTGTAAATCTCGAGCATGAGAAGCGGCAGAGGTTAATGGTTTGCTTACATCTGGCTTTCTGGAGTCATTATCCGCCCGTGTTTTTAATATGTCGCTCAGTGGGTTTTAGATGTTCAATTAGTTGCTCTGTTTTAGTCACAGTTGTTAGTTTTCAGAACAATAACTTTTGGGTAAAATTATGAAGAAAACTAACATATAACAATTTACCAAAGTTCCTAAGGGCGGGTAGGGACATTCAACCGAGCCATACATCTTTAGGAAAGGTTACACATTCTTATAGGCATTCATAAGCTCCACACAGGGCAGGCGAGGCTTTCCCACAAGGAGCCAAGCCTGGGGGGCACGTCTGCCTCCTCCGACATTCATTTAGGCTGATTTTTTCTTTTTCTTTCTTTCTCTGTCACCAGTATCCTGAACTGCTGCTTGCCTCATACAACAACAACGAGGAGGCTCCTCACGAGCCAGACGGCGTTGCCTTAGTGTGGAACATGAAGTACAAGAAGGCCACACCGGAGTACGTCTTCCACTGTCAGGTACCCCAAGAAAAAAGCCTCTCTGCTTTCTGTCTCCAACCTCTCTCCCCACGGGGGTCTCGTTCCTTGACAAACATGGAACACATCCAACCATCCCCAGTTTGCTCCCCCCTTCTCTCCTCCTCCCACACCCCTTCATCCACATTGTGAGTTCACCATACTGGCATCCACCTCCACCACTTTTCATCCATAAACACATGTTCACGAGGCGCGGGAGAAGACCTGTGGTGCAGGAGAATCTGAGCAGTGCTGCAGCAGCATTAAGTGTGTGGGGCAGGGCCGGTTATCATGTGCATCCAAACAAGGGCTCTGTGTTCAGAGAGAGGGAGAGCAGCTCCACCGCTCTGCCCAGCCTTATTATACTGCCTGGCCCGAGGCTGCTTCAGCAAGACAAGTTGAGTAGAACCACATGTTGCCGCCGCCACAGCGGATGTAGATGAAGGCATATTGCTCAGATGAATAAAACTGAACAGAAGTGTGAAGGCACATTTTTCCGCGCCTTAAAATCCACTCATAACGAGCTATTCCCAAACCCATGCGTCACAATTTTTGTCAAGAAAAGTCCCCTTAGAAAAAAATGTTTTGCCAAGGTGTAAATCAAAAGTTTAATAATAATCCAGCCTCGTGGTTTGTTTTATTTGCAGTGTAAAGGCTGAGGCATGAGTGATGAAAGGTTTTGGGAAAGAGCAAACACACACTACTCTGACTTTGAGATGAAGTTTGATGTTTTCCATATTCTCATTATGCCAACTTGTTGCTGATATGAAACACAGCAATGCACCGCGACCAGAAACTGATTGGACACAAGTGTGCATGGTGGTCAGTTAGCTCAGTGGAAAACCCTACCAAGTTACTTCCACTGTAGATTTGTGCTTCTTTGCCTCGCTCTATCTCGTGAGTAAATGAATGCAGTATTCATTGTTCTGAATGAAAAAGCCATTTCAGGGGGGGTGCATACACTCAGCTGCTAGTGTCTCATTAGTATCATTGAAGGAATCCTAAATACCAGAACAAATGAAGCAGCTTATATCTTTCATCCCCACACCTCTCTAAACCGTAACCAAAACTATAAAAAGTAAACAAATGGAAATAAAGAGATATTTTTAAAGAGGCAATGGATATTTTTCAGCATATTTTCACATGTGTATTATTAAGATGATATCAATATTTAATTGTTTTTAAAATCCCGACTATAGTCAATACCAGCATATTAAGACTACTCAGAGATAGAGATAGGGTTACAAGTCAGTATACACCAAAACACAACAACATGTAATAAGTCTTTTCCTGGGAACAATATCCTATAACGTATCATCAATACCAGTCTCTGTTGCCATTAGCACCAATGTAAGCATTCTGGATTTAATTATTATTAGTAGTATATTTGTTGGTTTGGCAAGAATGAGGTATCATTTATGTTATACTGCTCCTTTCAGAGTACTATATGAAACTATTTTCCTATCAGTGATTATATCTTCCAAACACTTAGCATTAGAGTTCTGCTGCCGGGCATTGACTAATGGTTTGCCTCCTGCTAAAAATATAGAGTTGTGCCAAAGAGGGCAAGATGGCGGAGAGTTTCCTGTCATTTCGAGACTTTTATTGCCTAATTTAGCAATTCTACAAGAGGAATAATAATTAGATTATCAAGTTCTGCAGGAGAATTTTGATTAAACCACAAAACAATTGAAAAAATACTTGGCAATAGCTTGTCCCTCCAGCTATTCCCAATTTCCTTAAATTAGGGTTACCTCATAACCTCATAACCCCATGCCATAGGATAGCTGGCGTTCCTGGAGCAGGCAGACCTCCTTATGGCTTGGCAACGTTTCTTTAGGTTTATTCAAGGTTTATTATCACACCACACAAAGGATGAGATCAAATATTTGAGTCCTTGAACTAGCTTGTTGTAACCTGCATGTAAAGAGCTGACCTGAATGACAATTTTAGGGGAATCTTCAGCACAGACATTCACTATAAACATGTTTTTTTAATCACTGGAGACTCTAACTGTCCCATCTCTTCCTCTATCTTTCCCTCTCTCTGACAGTCTGCTGTAATGTCGGCTGCTTTTGCCAAGTTCCACCCCAACGTTGTGGTGGGGGGTACGTACTCGGGACAGATCGTACTGTGGGACAACCGGAGCAACAAGAGGACCCCGGTGCAGAGGACCCCCCTGTCAGCAGCGGCTCACACGGTACTCTAAAGCAGTGGTTCTCAAACTTTTTTCAATAATGTACCCCCTTTGAAAAAGAAATTCAGCCAAGTACCCCCTGATCAGCGCAAAAACAATTTGTTAGGGAAGAAATGCCTATAAAGAGGTACAGTACAGCGCTGCACCATCAGTGTCTGATTTATTAAAACAACAACCTTGTAACTGAGAAACACTTAAATACTACATTTCAAATGTTTACAATCCATCACTAAATTCATGGCAAACCAATTTCAACATCATGCAATAACGCTAAGACGACATTAGTTGCATTGAACTGATCTTTTAATAAGTTTTATTTACAATGTAGTGAGAAACATGGGCTTGTGCTTCACTGAGGATCTTTGTCATTCTGACAGGAAGGCTACTGCAGTTATTACACTTCGTGTTTTGAAATATGTGTAACTCTGTTCATATAAAACCCACACTACTCAAACTTTGTTACTTTTCCTAACATTTTTATATTTATTCATTTATTTTGGGGCGTGGGAAGAGAGACAAATATATGAGCATTTTATGAGCATGGGATTTTGACCCCTCATACTGTATTATGCATAATGCTGCGCTATACTTTGCGGCCACACGCCGTTGCCAAGCAACGCTTATTGTTTAGGTGTCCTTTGATAAGCAGGCAGTCATATAATTAACTAGAACTAGCTAGATCTGATATATTTGGAAATAAAAGCGAGTGAAGTATAACCAGAAAAGTAAAAATGACTCCCTCTCACTCTCTTCGCAGCACCCTGTGTACTGTGTGAATGTGGTCGGCACCCAGAACGCCCACAACCTGATCAGCATCTCCACCGACGGCAAGATCTGCTCCTGGAGTCTGGACATGCTCTCTCAGCCACAGGTAACATCCATATTTACAAAAGTTTTATTTATTGCAAATGCAAATAATGTGGTCAATAACTACAGTTATTTTAAACAAAGCAGTGTAGGCTGTCATCCTGGATATTAAATCAATGACAGAGACATATCGTTTTTATTTGTTTATGTTAATACTGTCCTGAGTGAGACTAAAGTACATTTTCCTCCCTTTGCTCTACAATAAAGTGTATTTTATTCTATGTATAGCCAATATTTTTAATACTGTATATGTGTGTGGGTTCTTTCCTATGGGTGGTCAGAGGACTATTTTTTGACTTGACATTAACGGCCCGGTGTTAAAGTTTTAACCATAAATTGAATTGCTTAGTTAATAATACATCACAGTTTGAGCTTAGCTTTTTCTTTCTGTGTAACGTCTGTCTCCTTAGTCTTTCATTCCACTCACTTCCTGTCCATTTCATGCTAAATGTCAAACATATTGGCTGGGCTCCTTCGTTTGGTATTTCCCACCGACTTCAACCATATTTTCTTTTTCTACAACTCATTTTTCACTTTCAAGGAAATTAACTTTGCTAGCTGTGTCATTTCATCTGTGCTGCCAAGACCTCAATGTCAAACTTCCCTTTTTTTTATAACGTGCTAGTTGAATTTAGAATATGAATTAATAAACTGTCAAGTGATTTTTATAGGTTGTGCTTGGCAGAGTTTGTGTTAACATAAATCGTGAGCGGGGAGCTTGTTAAACATGTTGTTCCGTGTTGCCTCGCCTCCACAGGACAGCATGGAGCTGGTGTTCAAGCAGTCCAAAGCTGTAGCTGTCACCTCCATGTCTTTCCCTCTCGGAGATGTCAACAATTTTGCGGTGGGCAGCGAGGACGGCTCCGTCTACATGTCGTGTCGTCATGGAAGGTGTGTTCAGAAGCAAACCGCGGTCCAGGAAACTGAGGCGGCTTGTTGGGCCCACCTCGGTCCGAGTGTCAAATAAATATAGCCCACTCACTTCCCAGTGCAACGCAAATCCAACACTTGATCTCCTGCTGTTTGAGGTTTCACTCCTGCCCAGTCATCCTGTTTTTCTTTTCCGCTTGTCAGTTATGTTTGCAAAGGTCGCTCAACATAAACAGGGCACACATGCAGGGGAAACAAATCATTTTTTCCCTGTCCTTTTTTCTCCTCCTCAGTGCGTTTCGCTGAGTGAGAGAGTTTGTTTACAGTCGGTATTCCCGGGCAGAATTGAAACTGCACTTCATCTCACAATGTTGTCATTTAACAAACCAGGGCTCCCCTCATGGTGTTTGGTCCTCTGGTGAAGAAGCAGAGAAATGTGGCTTAAATCAGAGCTGCCACGGTAAACGTCCTGCAGTTTGCCCGGAGACCGCAGAGAGGGGATAGCTGCTAGGTTTTGCACGGCAGCATCACCTCTGTAATTGGGGGAATCATTTTCCAGCTCATTTACAATGGTATGATACTCTCATCGCAGTTAATAATGCATAAGCATCACTCATGCTGAGTATTTACCTCTCTACATTAATTATCAGAGCATCAGTTGGGTAACAGCTCTGCAACATGTGGGTGAGATGTTGCAGCACTTCTGCCACCCTGCTGGTAATCACACCATATAAGTAAATGATTAATGTGAATACGTCCATCGGGGGGCCTTCTTCTTCCGTGCTAATGTAACGGCTAAGAGAATTAACACAGGAGTGTCAACTGATAAAAATGTCTTTGTTTTCTTTCTTTAATGCAGGGGTGTCAAACTCAATTTCATCGTGGGCCACATTTGCATTATGGTTGCACTCAAAGGGCTGGTTTTAACTATATAATTTATAAATATATTAATATATAATATATATCAAATAATGTATTATATTACATTATTGCCTCTGAATTGGGTTATTATCGGATAGGGTAATAACTTCGTAATTAACTACGTCTGAAAGCAGAAGTCATGGGCAAATAATTGCAAGTCTCTTCAGTGCCATGTCACAAAACGAGATGCATTATGGGACATGTAGTTTATGGGCAACGTACTTCTGTAAAGTGGCATGTAACCGTATAATAAACGTATTATATTCTTTCAGAGCTCTTGCGGGCCACATAAAATGAAGTCGCGGGCCGGATTTGGCCCCCAGGCCTTGAGTTTGACACCACTGATTTAATGTATGGACTTGTTATTCAAACAACTAAAGGTCAAAACGGGATGATTTGAAATGACCTACAGGCTATTTTAAAATATATGTTATTCTTTTTGTCTACAACGAGAACAACTCGCCCCTTCTTGATTTAGGTGGTTTAGCACTTTAGTCTGTCTGTATGTTTTGCACTCGCCACTTAATCTTGTCTGTGCTCTGCAGCAAAGCGGGCATCAGCGAGATGTTTGAGGGCCACCAGGGGCCCATCACAGGGATCGACTGCCACACAGCTGCAGGGCCTCTGGACTTCTCCCACCTGTTTGTCACCTCCTCCTTCGACTGGACTGTCAAGCTGTGGAGCACCAAGGTAAAAGCAACGTCTTGACATACTGAGGATTATTTGATTTGGCTGATAAACGAAAAGACCGGCGTGAAGGGAAACGTTTCCTCCCTCTGTGTGTTTTGTGTCCCTACAAGGTTTTATATCCATAATTTGTTCATGGTAACTGCAGTCTAGTTCAGGATCAAAACCCCAACAAATAATTGTATTCCTCAAATTTAAAAGCCACTACTAGCTCTGTGAGACTAATACCGTTTAAGCAAGCTTACTGCTATGGAGCAAAGTCATTGCTAACAAAAAGCATTCAAAACAAAGTACAGCTGATAAGAACAGAATTGCAGGTATTTGTTCATAAAGCTAAATATTTGACACTTGATGGCGACACAAGGTGGAAAGCTTACACTCACCAGGTGTGAAATACAAAAAGTCCATCAAATATTTGTCAAAAAGCTTTTCACTGGACCAAAGTGATGAAGCTATTCCTTGAGCTAAAATCATCGTCACATTTTGTATCCATTAAGTAGGTTTGTAAGTATATCAAATTGTTATATCTTGTGTGTCTCTGTGTACATAGACAATGTAGGAGATTATTCTAGTCATGTTTCTTTATCCTTCTTCCCCCTTTTATTTGTGCAGAACAACAAGCCGCTGTACTCATTTGAAGATAACTCGGATTACGTATATGACGTCATGTGGTCTCCGACTCACCCTGCTCTGTTTGCTTGTGTGGACGGAGTGGGTCATCTGGACCTGTGGAACCTCAACAACGACACGGAGGTATCACACTCTTACTGACAGCACACACGCGTTTCACCACGTCCATTTTCAGTTCTCCTTTGCATCTAAAGGGAAGGAACTCTCAAATCTTAGATATTTTTCTTATTTCTTTGCTAAACGTAATTATAAAACTAAAGGTTGCAGAGCATTTTTCCACTGTTTTCATTATTGTTTTTTGTTGTTTTAGGTTCCTACCGCCAGCGTCACAGTGGAGGGTAACCCAGCTCTGAACAGAGTGAGGTGGGCTCACTCTGGCAAAGAAATCGCCGTGGGAGACTCTGATGGACGAGTTCTTGTGTATGATGTCGGAGAGGTGAGATGACAGGACTCTTTTCTTCTGAGTGTGCTTTAAGTAATAATCAAACATGCTTTTACGCCTCTTTTCACCCTGTCAGCCTGTAGTGGATTCAACTCAAACGGTTCTTTTGTTTACGTAACTAGGCTATTATCCATGTTAACGAGCGTACGAAGCATTAGCTGTGATCTTTCCTGTATTCGAGGTTTTATTCATGCCTCTTTTGTTCCCCCCCCAGCAAACTGCGGTTCCACGAAACGACGAGTGGACCCGCTTTGTCCGCACGCTGGCAGAGATCAACGAGAACAGAGACGATGCGGAGGAGCTGGCGGCTCAGCATCTGGTCGCCTGATCTGCTCGTCCACAGAAGTGATGTTTAAAGGACCAGAGGCGCACTTGTTATCGTCAGCCCCAGGAAGAGATGTGATGAAATGTTTTGATCAGAAAGACCTTTTGATTCCTTACACCTGCTTATTTGGAGGCCTTCTCAGTTAGCTGGACCGTCTTCCTCGGATTAACACGAGCGTCAGGGATATCGACGTCAGACACTAACACGAAGCCATACTCACAAAACACAAACCAGTTGTCTTTCTTTCAACAAGATGCCTTAATCTATCCTTTTAAACTTTTGATTGTAAAACCCCACCTGTCTTCATTCATCAGCCTTAATTTTGAGATTTATTTCAATCCATAATAGTTAACACTAGCTAAGTCCCATTTCCACCAAAGTTGTAGTAAATCAATCACATCTTAACACGGGGAATGTAAACTTATAACTGTAGAATCATGTCGTCATCTCCGTTCCTTTTAGACTTGATCAACTTATATTCACTTGATTGTAAAAATAAATCCAGATGTATTTCTACCTTCTATTTTGTCCTATACTGCACCAGTTTTCTCTCAATCAGTGTAGCTGGTTAGACTGGAGATCGTTGGAATATCCTTAATGCCTAAGAAGATGATCGTGTATGCTGTAACTGCTCGGGGAAGTCGTTTGTTGACAGGATCCGAAATGAGACGGTTTGTTTCCTGAAGAATCTCAAATGTTGGCGTCAAAATGGATAATGTACTTTTCACACAGTAGGAACAAACAGTTTGAATGATTTATTTCAATAAAATACAATAAATACATTTAAATTATATTCCGAGTCCTTAGTCATGATTTCAAAATGAACACTTTTGAAAACATCTGTACATCCTTATGTCTCTGAGGTTTAACTGACACATGCACACCAAAGCTATTGCACACCAGGAAGCGCAGTTACAATCCTTCGTCATGCCATAATGTTCCTCTGTGCAGAAGAACAATATGTACAGTAAAGTTGTGCAAGCAATGCAAAGACAATGCCATAAAGCCATACTCATGCAGCATTCAAAGTAAGACGATCGCTCAATTGCATTAGAACGTGGCTCAATAAAATCATTTGAGGGGAAACCTAAAGTAAACCTAACCACGGTGAGCTTTATGAAGCTTCCGGCTCCGTTACAGGCACCGCTGGTTTGATTGTCTCCTCTCCAGAAGGCTTGAACTTGGGCAGGTGCAGACCGAACTTCCTCTCCACGCCGGCAAAGGTTGCAGCAGCCAGATGGTAGCCGCCCACATGGTCCGCCGTCACCGAGGGGAGGTCGGGGACTGTCGGTTTGTGAGTGTGCTCAGAGCCGGCAGGGCGACTGAGGAGAGAGAGAGAGAGGTTAGGGTGAGACACTTCTTCAAACTGATGAGAGGTAGATACTTGTGAAGACGGGGTTGAATTCAGAGGTGGGCCAAGATGATCTACAAGATGTTTACTTCAGTATAAGTAATAATACTGAATTATAAAAGTACTCTGTTACAAGTTAAAGTCCTGCATTCAAAATCTCCCTTAAGTACAAATACTTAAAGTACCAAGTAAAAGTAATTACTCTGCACAACAGCCTAATCAATAATATTATTATACATCTGGTAAAGGAAGAGCTTGTATTTTTGTTGTCTTTGTTTCACTGTATATACTGTCAGGTAGGGTCTGAATTTCTCCAATTCATAAATTAATCCTAACCTCTTATAATACATGATAAATACTTTCTTAATAGTTGGTGCTTCTAATCTAAATCTTTAAAGTAACTACACTTATTAGATCATTTTAGTCGAGTAGAAAGTACAATCTTTGCCTCTGATTTCAGTGGAGTAGAAGTATAAAGGAAATGGAAGTACTCAAGTAAATTACTACATAATTGAGTAAATGTACTTAGTTACTCGGTTAGAGTACTTACTGTCCTCCAAAGTCCACGTAGAGCCATCTCTGTAACAGTTCGTAGGTCACCAGGGTTACACCAAACTGCGGTGAAGATCTGCAGACTCGAGCTAATGGAAGACAGTTAGAGAATTACAATGTAGGATTTAATATTCTTTCTGTGTATTCTAAACAATTACAGCCACCACAGCAGGCCTCATCTCCCAGTCATGAAACCACTTAGAGTGTGTGTGTGTGTGTGTGTGTGTGTGTGTGTGTTTACCTCCTGTGCCCTTCCAAAACGCCCTGAAACCTTCCTCCTTGAGGATCTTCCTGAAGCAGTCGATCACCCCGCTGTAGGACGTCTGGCCAGCTCGGGCCGCCACCTGGAGCCTGGTCTTGATGACATCAGCAGGGGTCACCAGCGAAGCCGCCGGGATACCTGAGGAGACGTTTCACAACACACATAATGAAGCACTCTCACTATGCACAGATGGGTGTCACATCCTCACATCCCTGCTGTAGCATCATGCAGGGCTTGAAATGGGTATTGTGCTATAGTGGGATATGACAAAAGCACTGTATATATACATTTTCTATACAGCTAGGAGCTTACAATAGAGAAAATACAATTATTTTGAATATAACCAGCTCATTCCTGTCTTTCTTCGAGATAAAAGGCCATATATTCACCAGTTTCAGCTTCCCACATGTGAGGAATTGCTGCTTTTCCTTCTCATAAATGATAGTAAATTAAGTATATTTAGGCCTAGGGCTGTTGGAAGAAGAACATATGGAATTTAAAGATGCAAAATTTCACTATTTGAAAAATAAATTGAGTTTTTTAAACCCTTTTCTGAAATTTAATTAAATAAACAATTAACCAATAATAATAATAAAAAAATACCCTAACAGTTGTTGGAGATACAATAGAAGAAGAAAGCACAAAGAAGAGGAAACAGAAATGCCTTTCTTGGAGCAGAAAATGTGACACTTCCCTCATTTAATCCCCACAGACGCTGAGCTCTCCAGATGTGTGTTACCTGCGATGGCTCCAGCAGTGAGCAGCTGGAGAGCCCCAAGGCTTCCGTCCTCATCTGCCAGCATCGCCTTGGTGTGGGCATAAACAGGAAAGTAGATGGCGGAGAAGGGGATGTCACGCAGGAAGCATGCTTTGGCTCCCTAGCAGAAAAAAAAAAGAAGGATCAATTTAAATATAAATACATCATGGAGGTTTGTCTTGGGGATTAAGTGGTCTGGGAGCTGTCTTGTTCAACCTACAGGGGGCTTTAGTGTTGATGATGGAGCCAAAGAGCCCCCAGGCAGAGCTGCAGCACTGGGCCTCCAGAGAGAGATCCAACACACACACACACACACACACACACACACACACACACACACACACACACACACACACACACACACACACACACACACACACACACAGACCCTGGCGTGCTGGGTTCTTCTGCCAAGAGGAAGTCAGCTTTTCTTTTTTTTAACAAGCCACACACTGTCTGCTACTCATTAAAATATGGAGTATGAACACATGACTTGAGCAGCAAGTAAACCCACAAGGATCTGGAAAAGGAGCAGTAGCAGAGCATAATCCCGCACTAATTTGCTTTTGGCCACAGCTCCTTTTTGCATGTTTGACACTGTATTGGAAAATTGCAAACAGTCAGCAAAATGAAGGTTTTATATTTAAATGTGTGAGTCCGATCTGCCCATTATGTCTGTGTACACATACACAAACCTTTGTTCAAATAGAACAGTATTTTATCTATGCATCATTACAGGAGTAAACCTCCGATCATATGTTAATATATACAATTGTGAAAGGAAAATACATTTAATAAAGAACTGTATTTTTTTTCTCCAGTATTGTGAATCTTTTATGCTTAAATATCTTTAAGAAAGGAGCATTGTTAGCGATTAAAGTATCCAACAATTTAAATTAAATAACTAAATCAAACAAAGACTGACATAAACATACTTTTGAACAGTTAATGCATCAGTAATAATAATCCAGTAACATTATAAAACAAAATGAACAATTTTATTTAGATAAGTTAAACTTGCGTACACTATACAGATTTTACTTGCTTTAAGTGGTATTTTGCATTGAGGAGCTTTCTTTTTTACTAAGTGCTGTATTGTGGTATTGTTTCTATTACTGAAAAGTGTACCTGACATTTTTGGTCTATTAATCACAAATTAGATGTGCAACTTTAAACTAAATAATCATTTGTGTAATTGTTTTTTAAAAAGTGTCCTTGGTTCCACTTTAATTGTTAGCTATTTTTAGATTGTTGTCTAAAAATGTCTTCCACCAAACCTCTTCTATTGTGAATCCAAACACTGAACAATAAATAAACCCCCCATGTTTTTAGTGTTGCACCTTTGCCCTTGCATGGCAGCGGAGGATGCTGCAGACGTCCCGGAGCTGCAGAGGTGCTGACCTACCTTGTAGAGGCCAAAGAAGCCCAGGTCTCTCACAACAGTCATGGCTCCGACCCTGGGGCCTGTGGTGATCTCTCCAGCCACCTGCAGACGGATCTTAACGATCTCCAGAGGATTGGTGAAAATCACCTGGGAAGCTCCAGCCTGCAACAGGACAAACAAACAGCTGAATGGTGCTTTTTATGCACTCAGACTCGAGCTTACACATCTGAGGGGTGAACTTTTGGGGTGAAAATGTAATGATGTGTAAGCGTTTTCTAATTATCTCAGTAAACTTCAGCACAAAGGGCCACTTTTTCCCGATGATTTGATTCCATATAGTAAGAGAGTGGCCTTGACAGGAGGAGGAAAAAGCAGCCATTGATAGAGGAACCAGCGGGGTCAGAGCAGAGCAGGCGTCGGGTGAGGAGAAGCCAAGGCTCATGGTTGGGAGGCTGTGACCCTGGCACCGGCCCTCTGCCCCCTCGCCCCCCCCCCC